GAGGCGAAGCTCAGATTTTAACTCAGGCCTTCTGGCCTGAGAACCCACACCCTGGAGATGCAGTTGGAGACTCCTGAGTGGGACACAGACACATGCTCCTGGTGCTGACTTCTAGGTCAAAGAGCTGAGAAGATAATAAAGTCCAGGAAGCACAGGGCCTCCCTGGTTTTTCCTCTGCTCTCCGGGTTCGTGGTGCTCACAGGGGACCCTTGTCCCTCCCTTCCTCTGTGGCTGCTGCCACCCACGTGCTCCTGATCAGGTTTTGTTTTTGTCCCTTCTTTCTTCCCATGTCTCCAGAGTGGGCTACCAGTGATTTTCTTTTTGTAGTAAGGCTTTATTTTTAAAAAAATTTTATTTATTCATTTTTAGAGATAGGGAGAAGGGATGGGAGAAAGAGAGGGGGAGAAACATCAATGTGTGGTTGCCTCTCAAGCACCCCGCACGGGGACCTGGCCTGCAACCCAGGCGTGTGCCATAGACTGGGAGTCGATCTGATGACCCTTTGGTTTGCAGGCTGGCACTCAATCCTCTGAGCCACACCAGTCAGGCCATGTGGCTTTATTTTAACTCCTGGGGAGGTAAGCCTGTGAGAGTCCACCCTGCTGGGCAGACTCAGAAACAGGCATAGTCCTGATGCAATGTTGGCTGTCCTTCATTCAGCATATACTCTCTCTTTTGAGCGTCCACTGAATCAGAGGCACTGGAGTTGTGCTGGGGGCGTGATGGTGAATTTAGGAGAGTGATAGGGGAGACAGACCCAGAGACAGTTCACAAACAGAACAACAGGTATTAAGAAGGATGCAAAGAAAACAAAGGAGGGAGGGAGACAGAGAAGGAGGGAGGGAGGGAGGGAGAGAAGGAAGGGAAAAGAGGGAGACAGAGCAGGAGAGGAAGAGAGAAAGGCCTCAGATTGGGCAACACAATAAGCTCCCTGGAGCTAAGGCTCTCCAGGGGGTGGGTGGGTGGGGCCATCACCTGTGGGCCTCAGGGTCCCTCTCCCAGCAACGCCCTTTCTGTCCCAGCTAGAGCTGCACAATAGAAAGGTAGGCTCCACACCCTCTAACCGCCCTTGGGCTAGCTGCCTGTGGACTGGGACTTGGACCCAGGGCTATGAGGTGGGTCCAGGAGCAGCTCTGCCTGACTTGGGTCCCTCTGGAGAACAGAGCACAGTCCAGTGTCACCCCTTCCTGAACGACAACCGCAGGAGCTGAGCCTGTGAGGGCCGAAGGAGAGCAGCTCGGGTCTTTAGTCGTCTAGGTCAGTACTGATGTTCCTGGCCAGCTCGGGCCTCTCGTCAGAGGCAGGCCCCCCAACACTAGGGCCGGGCAAGGACAGGGAGGGGCCATGCTGGGGCCTGTCTGCCCTCCACAGGCAGGGATGCCCGGCACAGGTTGGGCAGTAGGCCTGGAAACAACCCAACAACCCTACCAAGCTAACCTCAGAGATCTCTGGCCCTCCAGGTCTGGCCGTGGGCAGGGTCAGAGGCCTCAGAAGAAGAAGGTAGTTGGGAGCAGGAGTGGCTGCTGCGAGAGGCCAAGGAGGAAGGCAAAGGGGCCCAAAGACAAGCTCTTTCTTTTGTTCCTCCGGAGACCGACCAGTCTCCCTGATCTAGGCCTGGGGGGCAGAGGTGGCAGGGAAGAGAGAGGACACCGCTAGGAATGGTGGGAGGCCTACTAAGGTGGCTGGGAGTCAGAGGAGGCGCACGGGCTGGCGCTGGGAGGCAAGGGGTTAAGGCAGTGGGGGGGCAGCCTATGGCAGGAGGACACACCTGTACGCAGGCAGGGGCGGCGGGCGGGGCCCAGGTGAGGAGCCTGCGCTGCCTGCCGGTGGAGAAGGAAGAAGGAAGAGTGGAGGCTAGGGCGGCGGTTGAATCCTGGGCCTGACTCCGCTTCCTCTCCTCAGCACTCACTCTCTGTGGGGCAGGTGGCCTGCTGACCTGGTAAAGGCCATCGGGAGAGGGGTCCTGGGGCTGAGCTGGAGGCTGCAGAGGGGCGATGATAAGGGCCCGTGAATTGGTATGTGGGGGCTGGGACAGGCTATGTGGGTGGTGAGGAAAGGGGCTCAGAGGCAGAGAACAGGTGGGCAGGGGGCTGCCTGCACCTCAGTGGCTCAACTACTCGGGGTGGAGCTGGTGGCGGGCTGCAGGGCTCACCCGGAAGTGTCCTCAGGGACTCGGGTGGTTGGGGGAAGGGAGCCAGGGTTCTGCAGCCTCTCCACAGGGAGCCTGGGCCTAGGACCGCCTGACCTGGAGATAGGCAGGTTGGGTGGGGGCCCCCGTCTTACCCAGCAGTGTTTGGGTGCTGGTTGGGAGTCTCTAATACTGCCGGGTAAAGATGGAGGCCCCTATCCCTGTGTCAGCGCCATCCTTTGCTTCAGGCCCCCAGCAGGCTGCAGCCACCACCCACCCCCCTTTCTTGAACCCCCCCCATGCCCCCTGGAATCCCCTTCATCTTGAGTGGAGGGTGCTGCAAACGAAGTGGCTCTTGGTTGGTGAGTTGACCACAATGGTTCCGAGCCCCTCCCCCAACCTGGAGTGATTTGTCATCTGGTGGATCCAGAACCTACAGCAGACCTTGAGCTTGGGATTGGCTCAGGTACTCTCAAGAGACCTCACCTGGCCTGCAGCCAGGGTCCCTGTAGCAACTGGTCAGCTCTAGCCTGGAGCTGCGTGTTGGCCGGCTCTGGGTCCATCTTCCAGTACAGTGTTGGATGGTCTAATTGTGAAGCTCCTAACACTGTCTGGTAAAGATGGCCCCCGGGCCGGTTCCCTCTGCAGTGACCTTCAGGGAGCCCTGAAGACCGTGGAGCCCTTCTGACCAGCAACCTCTAACCGTTACCCTGTGGCTGGTGGTATAAATCACTAGGACAAGGGGAACAATGGGGAAGAGACAAAATGGCTGCCTCTAGGGCCATAGCAGGATTTGAAAACATACTTGCTCTCCAGGCACCTTCACTCCCTTCCCGCCTTGGGAAACGAACAAAATAAAGTGTGAATGGGACCTTGTCGCGGACTGATTCAGGTCGCTGGACTCGTTTTATTTTTTTGGTCTAATTATCAATCTTGTCATAGGCTCCCAGCTCCTGAGTGGGGCTGCCCCATCTGCTTCACCTCCCTGTCCCTTTTACGACAGTCAACCTGCAGAGCAGGGGAAAATCAACCTACCTTCTTCAAAAATCTAAGCTGAAGATGAACCCAGTCCCTCACCCTGTAAGACTCACCTCCTCCCCTACCACACTTTGTAATCCCTGTACATGCCTTTGCCCCCAGCGCTTTTGGTTCCCAATGTTCCTTGCCTTCCTGTAAGGACAAGGGATGGGAGTCGGGCCGTAGTGGCATCAGGTGGTGCAGCAGTGGCTTGATTTCCCTGGTGTTTGAGATTCAGCAAGGGCTGTCTTGGGAAGATGAGGCGGCTTAAGTAGGGACTGAAAACTGGCACTTGTTTTGTTGGGGGGCTCGAGCTGCAGGAGTGAAGAGCTCATCTCTGTAGGTAGAGCCCTGTGTTGCATTGGTTCCTTTACACCTGAGGATTGTGAAAGTGGCCACGTGGGCAGCTCACAGGAGGCAGCATGACCCACAGGGCCTAAGCCCCTTGGTAGGCACGTGCGGTCCCCACCACAGCTGCACGGAACCCTGTTGCTGAGGAAGCAGCTCCTGCTGGGGTCATCACATTTCTGGCCTAGCTCAGCAAAGCCACAGCTGTTCCAGCCTTAAATGGAGGATGGGGCAGAAAGCGCAGCTGGGCCTATTTCCAGTTTGGGTCCTGTTTTCTGACTCCGCCGGGCTTCCAGGGTGAGAGCAGCAGGGCCCAGGCCAGAGTCTGCGCGCCCCCTGCTGGCGAAGATGAGGACTCAGGCGTGTTATGTGAGCACGCGCATGCGTACCTCCCCAACCCAGCTCAGACACGTGAAGCCTTGACTTCTGCTTAAGTAATAAAAATTTATTGAGAATTCCTGGGATGGTGTTTATCACCTCCCAACCTTGAGAGAGGAACCAACACTGCAGGAAATCACTAAGAAATCACACACTGTCCCTACAACCCTGGCCAACACAGGGGAGGAAAGTCATTCCCTTGAAAATGAGTCAGTCTTCATTCATCTGAGAAGGGCTAGGGGGACAGATGCAGAGGGGAGCTTCACATGATAGTGGGGGCGGGGTGGGGGTGTGCTGGATCCCCGAGCTGGCTCCTCAAACACCAGGGCAGAAACAGATCCACTTCTCCTCTGGGGGTGGAGGTCTTGGTCATTAGGCTCATTTCTTGGCCTTGATGAGGCTGTCACTGTGGAAAGGAGATGGAAAAAGGAAACAGATGAATGACATTAGGGGACATGAATGTGAGAGGAACATAACGCCCACTCCCTTCTCAACAGCGCTCCCTTCTGATTAAGAATGTGTAGGGAGGTGAGAAAGGTTACTGGTGGGGGAAAAAGGAGGCACTGAGAGGCGAGCTGCAAGATCCCACAGCAAAAAGGATGGATGCGCCAGCAACTTACCTTCCCCTGTGGACACCAGGTCACCAGACGAATAGGAAACATAGAAAGAAGAAAAACGCAGGGGTGACTTACAGTTCAGTCCCCACCCAGCTCCAAACCCTCCTTTGCTCCCAAGGGAAAAAGACAAACAGGCTCCAGGCTGGAAGCCAGGAGTCTCAGGCTCTGGAAAGGAGGCTGCGCTCTGGTCTCCTGTTCTCCCGGTCACGGCCATTCCTCCCCTCTCCTCGCCTGGCACCCTTCCGTGCCCACAGCAGCAACGACAGGGTTCCTAGGTAAGACTGCTCGGTATCATCTTTCACCACTTTTCAGTGAGACAAAATTTTATGTTTAAAGTGCTTTTCACGTGAATAATCCTGTTCTCATAAAACCAGTCATGATGTTCAAGTTACCTATGCTTTTCTATCTTTTGGTTCAGAGAAACAGTGTCTTTCAAGGGTCACATGAATAAGCTACTAACTGGCTGCAGAGCCCAAGCCACCAGACTCAGATCCCACGCTTTGTCACACCGCATTGTGTAGGTCACATCTCTCACCGGGTGAAACTTTCATCCTGTAGGTTCAGCACAAGGTTGTCAGCAGTGAGATAGATACGATTCTGTGATGTGGCGATCTACAGGGAAAGAAACAAGACAGATGCTCGTATTAGGCAAAAGACCTCAATTTCTATCCTCTCATTCAATAACCACCGACGGAACACATAGGGGTTAGGAACAGGGATCCAAATGTGAAAGACGCACTTTTGGTCCTCACAGAATGATCCAGAGCAGTAAACTGTAATTGAGTTAGTATCATAACAGAAGCGTGAAGATAAGTTTAAGGGAACCCATGGAATTGTTTTTTGATGAAAGGTAGTGTCAGAGAAGCCAGTTTGTATAGAAACTTGAACGAGCACAGTTTTAAGGACTTCACTTGAGTGTGCCTTAGCTGAAGACGCTCTCACTCTCCAGGAAGCCCTGTGAGGAATACTGGGCTCTTACACTCACCGTCTTGGAGATGTTCTGAGCCGCTCGGATCTTTCGCAGCTTGATGTAGCCCGGGTTCTTGCTCAGTGCTTCGCCAAGGTGAGCAGGGTGGGGTTAAGGGTCCACACAAGGCCAGGTCTCAGTCCCTGGACCCATCCTCGCTACTCCCGTCACACCAGCCCTCCTCAGGGCTGTCAGATCCAAGGTTGCGCTCAGGTAGCTCGTGCCTAGTCTTACTTTGGTCCTCACCTGTGGGCCCCCCTGCAGGCAGCTGCCAGGAACTGGAGGTAGCAGCAGGAACAGAGGCAAGGCCAGCAGTGCTATTGATCTGCCTTACAGTGAGGAGCCAAGCTCAGGAACCCCACTAAGATTTCAGATCCCATTAGAAACCTCCACCCCCCGCCCCCCGGCGAGAGCTAAGAGTCAGAGCACGGAATCGCATTCGCCTTTGTCTCATCAGCCAGCCTGTGAGGGAGGACAAGGGAGGAGAGGAAAGCAATGTGCCCCAGGGGTGAGCTGAGATGTCTCCAGCAGAAGGATATCATCTTGGCGGCCTCGGCCTCACCCTCTGCTTGCACGATCTTCTGCCGCTGCTCTTGCTTCGCTTTTTCCACCAAGAACTGGGCCCGCTGGGCCTCCTGCTGTGCTGTGGTGGGACAGTCAAGAGGTCACAAATGGGAGGTGCCAGGAACCCCAAACTGCTCCTGCATTCTCAGAAACCCTTGACTTACTCTCCTGGTAACTCACCCACTTGTTTGGCTTCTACAGCAGCTGTGTACTCTCGACTGAAGCTTAGCTCTGTGATGGCTACGTCATCCAGGATAAGGCTGAAGTCCTTGGCCCTCTCCGTCAGCTCCCTTCGGATCAACAGGGACACCTGGGGGGAGGGGGGAGGAGGGGAAGGGAGAGGTGGGTTGAGGGGACTGGAGCACTGAAAGGAAGTTGTGTTGCTGTGAGTATCTGAATACTAGATCTTTTGAAAAAGGCAAGAAATTCACCAACCCTTTCTTAGTGCCTATCGAGCTCTAGTCTTGGCTCTCGTTTTGCACAGTGGCCATTAGTGCAGCATTTAGGCACAAGTGGAACTGGGGTCATAACCCTTTTCTAATAAGCTGCCTTTCCTAATACCCAGTGCCCTGGGCCTAGGAGGAAAATGCTGCCATTATGCAGATGGTAATGGGAGCTGGGTCCGACCTGGGCCCGTTGGGTGATCAGCTGTGAGGCGTTGAACTTGGCCACCACACTCTTGAGAACCTCGTTGACAATGGACGGCAACACTCGCTCCTCGTAGTCTAGTCCTAGGCGCTGGTACATGCTGGGAAGCTCCAGGGCATTGGGTCGAGACAACACTCGCAGGGAAATGTTCACCATCTGCAGGTCTAAGAGTGAGGTCAGCAGCGGCTGGGCAAGGCCATGGGGGTCTCATGGCCCAATACCCTTCCCCAAGCACTGTCTCCTCCATGTTATGTCGTTCAGCCTGGAACTCCCCTGGAGGGAGGAGAGTAATCAGGCCGATCAGATGTGACCTGGCACAGGCCACATGCAACCTTGTCCACCGTGATGTCTTCTCTATCCGCAAACCCTCCACCAATAAAGCTAAATTCTCTTTTCCTATTTGCCACTGCACTGTGTGCAAACTCTACAGGGGGCTTTTCAAATAATCACCTGTCTTCTTTACTAGACTATCAGGACTGGAGGATGAGGACTCTGTTTTATGTATTCTTTATTCTCAGGACCAATTATTTAGAGAATGTTAAGTGCCATACACAAAAAATTTAGTATAAAAAACACGATACAGGTGAGCTACTTGCCTCAGTGTGCATGTGCCTGTGTGTGCCAGTGAGAAGAAGGGGTCTGGGGAATCTCGAAGGCAGTTTCTAGATACGGTCTAGGAGGAACCAGGAGCACCAGGGAGACGGGCCAAGTGTCCCCTGGACAGGGTGTACTACTGGATAGCATTAATAAGACAAACAGTTAAAAGAAAAAAAAAAAAAAGGCTCTAAAATAATGCTTTGCTCCAGGCAGTAAGACAAGGGGCAAACAGCACTCTCATTGAATTTACTTTAGAAGGTAAAAAAGGTTAACAAAAAAAGTGCAAACACACAGTGTGTCCAGTTGTTCTACTTCAACCCCAGAAGCAGGTATTTTTATTCCATCTCTTTTGCAGATGTGAAAACCAAGGCCCAAGAGCTGTGACACAACCACTTTCCCCAGGGGTCTGGCCAGGCGCCCTTATCAACTTCAGGTAGCCCATGTGTTGGTGGCTTCCAAATGTCCAAACCTACCTTTGGAGCCTGTTGGGGAGGAAATTTTTCGTGGTCTGGCCCGAATGTCATAGATGATGGGATATTGGAACCAGGGGATCCTGGAGGAGAGGGAACGGATAGTTATTGGGAGACTTCAGTTTCACTAGTTTTTCCTCACGTGTTTCCTTCTCCTAACGACCAGAGACTAGGAGAAATTCTCTTTCTTTAGCGAACATTTATGTGCCACGGCACTTATGGGAAGAACCCACTGTCCTAGGAGACGAGAGAAGGCCCAGAGCTGGATCCGTTGAACGTCCCACTACGGCCATTGGTGGGTTGGCGTTCAAGGGTGAAGGGTCAGGGTCAATCCGCTCTGCCCGCCATTACCTGAAGTGAAGGCCCTCGGCGAGAATGGTGTCCTGCTGCACGCCACCGATCCGATTAAAGAAGATGGCTCGGTGCCCGCCTTCCACTGTGGGGAGAGGGGTGGGGATCAGGCCAGGTCACTGCTCAGAGTACGGGTTAGCCACTGGTGGGGCGAGGGGCTGAGTGCACTCGGGGGCCCGGCGGGACAGGAGGAGTCCGGGAGCGGGCGGAGGGTGCTCACCGGTAAACACGGACTCGCGGACCCCGTAAGCCACGGCGCCGGCACCCAGGAGCAGCTTCAACGCCGTGCCCATGCCCCGGGGCCCTGAGGGCAGCCGCCCCGCTAAATCCTTCAAGTTCTGGGCCATGTCCGATCCCGAGGCCGGCAGCACCAAAGGTCAGGAGGGGGTGCCGGCCCGCCTCTACCCCACTCCAGTTTAGAAACCGCACCCTTCACACGAGGGTCCGTGGCCCAGGTGCTCGCAGGAGAAAGGGCACCGGAAGTGCGCTCTCTTGTAAACCCTCCCCCTACACCCCCCAGCTCCACGGAGGACCTGAATTTCGCGCACAGGAATTGCGCATACGGAAGTCCCGCCTCTCTCTGAAACCCTGTCCTCCCAGATAGACTTTGGTAGTGCCAGACAGCAAGCTATCGCCATTTCCAAGCGCCCACTTTCAAAATGGTAGCCGGAAGTACGTTTGCGATTAAGAAAAGCGTCAGTTTCTAATTTCAGGATATTAGCATAATTTCCGGTTGCAAGATGGCTGCGCCCAGTGATGGATTTCAACCTCGTGAGCGTCGGCGTGAGGACCAGGAACAGGACTGGGATGTTGTGGAGCCCAAGCGGCCCCGATTTGGGGCGGGGAGCAAGATGGGGGGCCGTAGGCTCATTGTGGTGCTGGAAGGGGCCAGTCTGGAGACAGTGAAGGTAATGTGGACAAGAAAGTGGAGATCTAGTAAAGCGATAGAACGAGATCTCATGGGATGAGGATGAGTGGCTCAGAGTGGATGGAGAAAGCCAAGAGGTGAAACATGCTTTTGGAGGAAGAGTGGCTTTGTTGACATATCCTTTAGTTTAACGTCCTGGGTTGGCAGTACTCGTTTTTCCCCGGACCTTCTTGAATCCCATTGCAACCGTCATGTCCTTGCTTCCAGTTGACTTACCAGAAATCTGTGGTGTTAAGTCGTTTAAAGGGAAGGGAGTTTCGTCCACGGCTGTGTCCCACATCATCGCACGCCAAGTTACTAAGAAAGGAGAAAGATGGGTATTGTAGCTCAGTTGACCCATCGTTTTATTCGTAGGGACTTAGTGTTTTATAAAAGGTGTCTACTGTCACCTTCCCCCGTGTTAGTATCCACTTAGAAACACTGGATCAGATTATCATTTAATACTTTAATATTTTTATTTTTACCTATCATTTGGCTCTTTTCCAGAATTATCTAGGCGTTCTGGCTTAAAACTTTGAGCTGTGTTCTCATTTCCTCTGACTTTCTTGTTGCTCTTACCATTTAGAACTAAATTTGTTCAATGAGTAGGCCCAGAATAAATAGCACTGGTTTAGGAGTCACACCTGGATTTTAATCTTGGTTCTTATCTTAACTGTGTGATCTTGAGAACAATTTGTTCTTAGTTTGTTGAAAAGCGGAGGTTAGTAATACTTTACAGGGAGAATGTAATGAAAAAGAAAAGAAAAAAAAAGGACATTTAAAAGGAGTACATTTCCATAGTAATCTGTGTGATTCTTTTTCATGTTTTCTCCAAGAGCCAGTATGGCACTTCGTTAAGCTTGCAAGCTAGAAACTTCACACCCGCTCCATCTTTTTTGGTTTTCTCCTGTGATTGATATTTCTAACCTAATTACAGGTTCTTACATTCATCCCTCACTTAACTGCCTGCTATCTTTCCAGCCTGTTAATTCTGAATGTTATTTAACCACTCCATTTCTTCCTGTGTTCCTTGGGGATGATAGTAGTGCCTACATTACTGGATTGTTGGGAAGATTAAAGGAGTTAATATGTGTAAAGGGTTTAGAATAATGTCTGCCACTTGGAATTGGTTATTACTGTTACTGATTCCATGTTATCTATTAAGTACCACATTTTACCTGTGTATAATGTGCACTTTTTTGCCCAAATTTTTGAGGGAAAAATAAGGATTCGCATTATACATGGGTAGTACTTATTCCATATCTATATAAATGTTTTTAATTCTTTTATTCTTGCTTATGCGTTAAAAGTGTAACTCTAGAAAGCAATAATGATATTCGTATGCAAAATACTACCCTGGAATATGATAATTGGTTTTGTTTCTAAATACAAATAAGTAAAAATTGAATTAAAGAATTAAAATTAAATACTTTTTTCCTGAAAGTTTGGGCCAAAAACGTGGGTGTGCAATATACATGGGAGTGCATTATACGTGGCAAAATATGGAAGTTTAACAGCTCATGGCCAAATTAAAATCCCTGGACAATGCTCTGGAAAAATTTAGGCCAACTTGTCATTAATGGTACTCCAAGGGTGAGAGAATTCATAGATGGTTGAAATCTTCTCTACTGTTATCTTATGCCGTCCTTGTGCCGGTACCTCTTGCTTGTGCCAGCCTTCTCTGGGCCTGCTGTTTATTTTTTTATTTTTATTTTTTTTTTGAATTTTTAACATTTTAATACAGATAAGTGTGTCTGGTTCATTTCCGCTCCTTTCCTGCCAAACCTGGGGGCAGGGACTGCTTCGGCTTCTCGGCCTTCTCTTTGTAATGACCAAAGGATAAAGGTATCTGCCCATCGAACTTTAAACTTCACATTGTCTTTATATTTCTTGATCTTGACAGATTTGGCATCCTTTCTCCTGGCTGTGAGCAGGAAATCCTTGAATCCTTAATTTCGTGAGGCATGGCTGTGGGGCGCAGACAGTGCGTGGCAGGCACCTCAGCATATTCCCCCTCATCCATTTTATTCTTTATATTCCAGGCTCACTGGCCTTCTTTAAACTCTTTGAAGGCATGAGGTTCTTTTATATCTTAAAGCCATTGCACATAATGTTCTCTAACTGGAAGCTCTCTTTATTCAGCTCTTTGCTTCGTTAATCCCTACTTTATGTTCATTTATTTAGCAGTTATTGAGTCGATTATGCTGCTCATTCTTTAATAGGTTAAATGTTAATTCCTCATAGAAATGACTCTGTATAAATCAAGTCCTCCTGTTATATTCTTTTAATGAACCACTTACTTTTCCTTCATAATTTTTATCACAATTTGAGGTAATTAGTCATGTGGTTGTCTACTATTTGTCTCTTCCACTAGTTGGCTCTATGGGGGTAGAGAACCAACTTTTAAAAATTCTTCTCTCTTCAATACTTATTATAGAAAGTGAATGCACATGATATTCATCCTGATTATTCTAGTTAGTGGTTTTCAAGCTTAACCACAACCCACAATAAAAAATTACACTGTGAGCTAATACCCACACTCAACTGTATGAAATCAAGTTTCATAAACCATCAGTTACCATTACTACATGTGAAGTACTCTGATGTTTTATATTGTATTTCATTAAAAACTCTGGTTATAACTTACTAATGGGTTAAAATTGGGTCCTTTTATTGAAGAGATTCTTTTTCTTCTACAACTGAGAGTGTCCCATGTTCTTAATTCTCGGCCTTTGTTCTTTCTCTGTGCTTACTTTGTGACATTCTTGTTATTTCAGTTACTTAATTTCAAAGTCCACATGCCTCTTTCCCCACTTTTTGGAGTTGTAGGTCTTAACGTATTCTCAGACATAAAACGTTCTATTGGTACATAAAAACTTAGCCTTTCAAAATCTGTATTTGTACTTAATAGTATGTTTTTACACTTTTTACTGACCACCTCATGCTCATTAGGACTCCACGTTGCAATTTGCACCTATTTCTTTTAGCTGCTACAGATGGATCCAGACAGATCTTTAGTGTCGAACGTCTACCTGGTTTATTTTCCAGTATACACAGCGTTGCCAGGATAACATTCCTCAGTCATTCTTATGTCTGTTATTGCAGAATTATTTCTTTGTGCTGGATACTTGGAGATTCTGCAGTTTACAGAGAAGTTTCACGTGTAATCACTGCCCTTCACTGTTTCAGTTCCCACTTTTTCAGTTTTCTTCACATTTCTGCTTTTTCTTTATTCCATCTATACCTTTGCCTACATGTCTTAAACCTAGCAAAACCCTTCTTACTTGTTTTACTTCTGACAAGTATTCCGTGATCAAACTATCTCCTGCATCTTTAGAATTTTCACCCTTCTCATTCAGATTTGCAGTTCTTCACCAAGTGCACATTTGCTGTAAGTACACTGAGGGTAGTGACATGTATATTTTGCCTGGTGTATCACAGCGCTCCTGTGATAAACAAACGTTCAGCCTTGCTCATTAACCTTACTCCACCTGGTTCCAGAATCCCTCACCAGCTTTGTCTAATAGCCACAGGGTTTAAAAGTAAATCCAGCTTAAAATAATCTGAAATCACAGGTTGTGCCTTTTTTCCTTTTCCCTCTAAAATCAGTTATGATGGGAGGGTTGGGGGAAGGGAAGGGGGGATAAATGTGGCCACACAGTGAACCCCTGAGGGGCTTGCTGGGCCCCACCCCCGTAGTTTCTGGTTCAGGAAATCTAGAGCGAACCTGAGAATTTGACAGGTTTCCAGATGCTGCTGCTGCTGGTTTGGGGACCATACTTTGAGAACTGCTGGGCTAGGTAAAAGCAGCTTATGTTGTTCTCTGTCGTGTTTTCTTCTTCAGGTAGGGAAGACATATGAGCTACTAAACTGTGACAAACACAAGTCTATGTTGTTGAAGAATGGACGGGACCCTGGGGAAGTGAGACCAGACATAGCTCACCAGGTAACTCCAGGGACAGAGCTCAGAACACCTCGAGCCTTTCCGTGGAAGGCGCAGCAGCAGCATGCTACTTCTCTTCCGTCTTAACTGTGCCTCGGTATCTGCCTCCCTCAGAGTTTACTGATGCTGATGGACAGCCCCCTGAACCGTGCCGGCCTGCTGCAGGTTTATATCCACACACAGAAGAACGTTCTGATTGAAGTGAACCCCCAGACTCGAATTCCCAGAACCTTTGACCGTTTTTGTGGCCTCATGGGTGAGATCTTTAGGACTTAAAGTTCAGAATAAACTTCGCAGGAGTAAGGAAGGGGGAGAGAGGGAGCACAGCTGATGCCCAGAATGAAGACTCTCCCTTATTTTCCACATGTAGGGGTGAAGCCTGCATGAGTTCTAGCTGAGTGAAAAGGGAATGTGAACCCATCAGTACCCAGCTAGGCATGAGCTTGACAACTGCTTGTTCATAACATTTTAGCAGTATTAGTTCTAAAGGACATGGGGAGCCCACCTTCCCTGTGGGTTTTTCTGGTTAGATTACTGGGCAGTCTCCACCTAGCTCTGAACTTTCTTTTTTTTTGCCTTAGTTCAGCTTTTACACAAACTCAGTGTACGAGCAGCTGATGGCCCCCAGAAGCTCTTGAAGGTGAGGTGTTGACACCTACTGGTTGGAGGTAGGGTTCTGAGAATGTTTTGGGGGCTCATTTTTCTCTTTTACTTTAGGTAATTAAGAATCCAGTATCAGATCACTTCCCGGTTGGATGTATGAAAATTGGCACTTCTTTTTCCATCCCAGTCGTCAGTGATGTGCGAGAGTTGGTGCCCAGCAGTGACCCTATTGTTTTTGTGGTGGGGGCCTTTGCTCATGGCAAGGTAAGGCTGGGCTCAACTCTTAGATCCTTTGTAGACCTGAAGCTTAGTACAGAATTCCAAGAGCATTTCCATGATCCCTGTTCTTACCTGTTAGGAAAGAGAGGGTGAGAACAAAGCTGGAAGATAAGCATAGGTTCCCTAACCGGCCCCAGGACATGTCCCTGGAGGACTCTAATAGTCAAACCTAGAAGCTTCAGCATCCTCTCTATGAATCTGATATTGAATAGCACTGTGAAATATGAGCTCAGCCCAATATTCCTGCCCTAAAGGAGGACTGAACCTGTTAGAGCGATAGAGTTGGCTGACAGAACTGCTCTCTCCTCAGGTCAGTGTGGAGTATACAGAGAAGATGGTGTCCATCAGCAATTACCCCCTTTCTGCTGCCCTCACCTGTGCGAAACTTACCACAGCCTTTGAAGAAGTGTGGAGGGTCATTTGACAATAGGACCCTGTTTTGAACTGTTGACATTGCATCCCTTGACTCTGCCAACTCACTGCTGAAGATGACCTCCCTGCACCAGATCGTAGAGCTAGTGGATGCCAAGGCTGTACACTTGCTATTTGTTTATTTGATACACACTGTTCTTGCAAACCTGGTTGTTCTTTGGGGATTTGTACGCTTAGTCTCTAATGGTGTAAACTGTTGATTCTCCTTAAACGTCAGGGAAAGGTGTGAGGTTACAGTGTTGGCAGTTTGGTTCTGGGCTGTAGCTCCAGACGTGTGTGGTCACTGTGGTCTGAAGAGGTCCCTGATCACTGGGGCAATGGCAAGCACAGAGAATGTGCCTGAAAGAGAGCCAGGAGGGCTAGCAGTGAAAAATTGAACAAACAAGTGATTTTATCTGGTACAGTTCCAAGGTAGAAAAAGTGGAGCAGGCAGGGCCTAATGCCCCTCCCCACCCCCCCATGGGGGGAGTGGCAGCAGCGGCACGTATACAATCATAGTAAATTGGCAGAAGAAAAACACAACCATTCCTGGCTAGAGGGGGAGAGATAAGGCAACGTGCATGGGGGAGCCCAGAGGGCGACATGGGCCCCTGTACTCCGCCCACAGGAGTTTCCCCTTTGGCCCAAATGAAGACTTGGCTGCCAGCGGAGGCACAGCTGGGAGCGCCCTGTGTTCCTGCTCCCTGGCCACCGTGTGCTCTGCGGTGAGGGAGTGTAGAAAGGGAGACCGGTTGGTCCTGCAGCAGTCTTGCTCTAGGCCACCTGCGGAAGAAATTGGATGGGAAGGTTGGTCCGAGTGACTCCCAGTCCCTGATCTGCAGCCCTTCCAGCTTCTTGTTAAGTTGGTGTCCCATACTGTGTCTCCTAGAAGCCAGGCTACCTTGAGACTCACCCCCCCCAATCTATTGCTCAGTTCTGTAACCTGATAGTTTCAGTTTAGCTGTAGGGATGTTAACTTACCAGGGAAATACATTAATAGATTATTCCATTTTCTTTAATTTCTCTTTCCTTGGCACCATTGCTTTGCGAAGATAAGGCAATATGAATAGTAGGCTCAGGAAGAAGACGTGGCCAAGGAAATAGACAGATTTGTACACCTGTGGGGAGAGACAGGCCACTGAGGCAGCCCAAGGGCACGGCATACCGTAGTTTGCTCTGTGTGATGCACTCCCATGGGTGAGACGTATCCACGTTTTTGGCCCAAACTTTCAGGAAAAAATCTTTAATTTTTAAAATTCATTTATATTTAGATACTTGTTTTTTATATTATAAAGGAATTTTAGCATTTATTTTTGAACATACTGTAGTACAAGAAATTTTATGTAACATAATTACAAAACAGGAAGAGATACAAGGTATTTCATATGACCCATGTATAATGCACATCCTTATTTCCCCCCTCAAAAATTTGGGCAAAAAAGTGCACATTATACGTGGCAAAATATGGTATATCCTTTACTATCTGAGGTGTCAGTGGTCCCTTCCCATCTTTGAGGGCAGACCCTCACTTACCTTAAGCCACTTGTCCCATGTGAAGAGGCAGAAGGCAGTCATTGAGTAACCCATGAAGAGCCAGTGGATGGTCTGTTGCACCAAATAGTAGAAGGGTTGCAGGACAGTGATGGAAGCCAGGCTGCTCAGGGTTGGGCTGTTCTGAATTAGGCTGGCAACCTGGAGAGGAAGGGCAGAGGTAATCAGTGTCTTGCCTCTTCTCCTAGTCCCCTCTCACCCACCATGCTTAGGGCCTACCTGTCTTTCCACAATAACAATGAGGAATTCCATCTGGAAGCAGACCAGGTATCCTGAGTGTAGGCCGTGCCAGAGGGCCAGGAATAGCAATGAGAGACCCTGGGATAGTTCTTTATTTCCAAGGAACTTGAGTCGTTTGAAGAAGTAACTAGAGAAAAGGGTAAGGATAAGCCTCACTCCCACTATCCTGCCTTGGGGTTCTCGGTGCCCTGAGGAGTGCAGTCGTGGTGGTTATGGCTCCCTCTTGGGGCCACCTGGGGTAAGGGGGACAGTGGTGTCTGGTCAGCTTTGGAGATGAAAGACAGTGAAGTTGTCTCAGTTAAGAGACAACACAGACCTACGGCTTAGCTGGGTGAACTTGGGCAAGCCACTAGCTGCCTTGTGCCTACCAAGTGCGTGGTGTTGAACTGCAGTGAACAGGGCAGACCAGTTTTCTACTCATGCTGCTAACACTCTCATGGTGGGATAAAGATGTCTGTAAACAGGGCAGTGGTGAACATAAAACCTGTGGCTGGGTTGGGTTAAATCCCAGGGCTCAAGGTGCTTACATATCTTGCTCTTGTTTTTCAGTTAATGACAGGAATGGTTTGTGGGGGAACAGGTAGGGGCATTAAGTTCTACTCAAAGTGAGAAAATGCAGAGGAGACGACACACCTCTGCCCTTCGATCTGCAAGTGTGGGAGGCGGAAGTTCAGGGCCAGGCCTCCCCTCGCTGCTGCTTACCGGGCCACCCAGGCATTGGTGTTGATGTTGAAAGAGGCAATGGTGCCGGTGAAGCGGGGGGTGGTTTCAAAGAGCCACACCTTCATGTTCGCGCAGGCGTCCCACTTTGCTTTTCCATTTTCATCGAAGTCATTGAAGCCCAGCCCCGTCAATATGCACACTCCTTCCTGAGGGAAGGGTCGACTCAGGGCTCTTGCCACTCTCCTCCCCAGGTCCCCCACAGCTTGTCTATACCCTATTTCATCTTTTCTACTTACTGTGACCAGCCAACAGGTGACGTATTTGTACAGCACAAACTTGCCCCAGATCAGCATGTACATGCAGCGGAACCAGAAAAGGTGGTTCTTGAGAGAAGAAATGCGCATTAGGCCAGGTGAACTTCCCTAATGTCCTTCCTCTCCGCACTTGTGGCTGCCTGCTTCAGGTCTGCCTGACTGTCCCTACAACAGGCTGAGAGGATGAGCAGGGAGGCCAGTGAACATCCATTCACCTCCTTTCCCTTGGAGAGTCCCAGAAACAGCATTGTCCTTAACTCCTCTTCTGAAGTATTGAGCACTGGGGACACTGAGTACTGAGGGACTTCTATGTATTCACCTCAATTTAAGGAGACAGCCTACCTAGGGTGGGTGTGGAACTGTTGTAAGCCCCTCAGGTGGGCAGGAGCAAAAGCCAGCACTTCCCCCCTCCCTCGGGTTCTGAATACCCTAGAAGCCCCCAGTCTATCAAGAGAAGAAACAGGCTGGAGAGGACCAGAAGCTGCTGTGCTGGGCTGTAACACAGCAAGCTCAGAGCTGCTCCTGAGGAAGGTAAGGGGTGCTGAAAGTGCACCTGGCACAGCCCTGTGCCCGCGGAGGTCGTTCAGTGCCGGCTGATGAACATGTCCAGGCCCGGCTGGCATTGACACCAACTGTCACAGATCTAGAGCAAAACCAACACGCATTTGTCGATGGTATACTCCTTGGCTATCTACAGGGATCCTTGCCTGTGTATTTTCTATCTCGGATGCAATCACACTGCTTTAGCTTTAGTAGCCACTCACTTCATAGTCTTCGGTGAGGAGATAGCTTTCTGTGATGTACGGGCTGAGCAGAACGTAGCCCACCAGGTAGATGAGGCCCAGACTGAGGCGCTTGAGAGCAGGTATGGTGCTGGAAAGAAACAGATGGGGTCACAATGCGCAGGCGCCACTCCCTTCACCCTCTGACCTTAAATCATGGAGGGGAGCTATCCATCTGGGATGGGAAGTATAGCTCCACTGCCCAAAGTCATCCTCAGTCTCAGGGAAAGACTCTCTACATGCCTGGATGTGAGAATGGGGAATGTAAACCCCTGTGAGCCCCAGGGGAGGGAGGGCAGCCGGGGAGGGGTGGTGTGCCTGCGTCCGGTGCGTCCCCTCAGGAATACTGCCGGTCACAAGGTCTCGCCAGTGTTCGCAGTCTACAGTGGGACTGAAAACCCAATGCACGGACGGTAACGGCCAGCTCTGAATCCACTCCCTCCTCTCCTGGTTGAGTTGATGTTCAAACACAAGCAGGACACATTCTCAGTGTAGGGATTTCTCTGGTGACTTTAAAATTTTCTACTATGATATGTTTTTATATGTATTTAAGATCTTTTTTAAACTGTGAAAATGGGTTTTAAAGGCAGGGACATGACTGGTTCAGGCAAAATCCCGTGGCATGGAAGTGAATTTGTCTTGGTACTACAGCGTCAGAATGGATGGCTGGAAGTGACCTAAGGTGAAAAGGGCCCGCTGCCCGCAGTGAGCAGGCGCAGAGTTCCCTGTTCTGGCAGTCCGGGGCCTGTGTGGCATGGGCCTGGGAGCCAGGGCGGGTCTTTGGGGAGGTCACTTCAGAAGTGGCTTTAGGGTGGCTGGGACACCTACACAGAGGTCTTAACCAAGAGGGGCAGTTACCTGTTTGGTATCTTCCCTGGTACGTCAGTCAGCTGTCTCCGCACCAGCTTCATGTAGTGGTTCATTGAGAACTGGGGCCCTACCAAGAAGGCCCCATAGAAGTAGGAGAAACCAGCAACTTCCAGCAGGGAAGGGACACCCCGTATGGCATATTTCTGTTGCTCAGAGGACAAGGAATTCTATGCCGAGAAGAGAACGAACGGTTCAGGATAGGCGTGAATCTCCCTGCAAGAGCCGGTTTGTGTGTTCCCCACCCTTTGGCCCACTGAACTGGTTCTTCAAATAGCCATCTCTCAGGGGATGACATGGAGAAAAGCAGCTGCTTCACGTGGAAACGAGCGTGTGTAGCAACAGTTGGCTGCTGTTGCTTTTTCAATGCCTCGTTGGCATTGATCTCTGGACTTTGTGCAAGAGCTGGACAGGGAAATTAGGTTTGTTGATCCTTGCTCAGTGCTACTGAAACGGAGGTCACACAGGGTAGGGATGAGGGAGGGGCTCTGCCCCTGGCATCTGGGTTCAGTCTTTTGGTAACAACAGCCTTTCTCCTTCCTTCTGGTTTAGTTCCTTAACCTCTCTGTGGAGGAATCATTCTTACCTGATCTTTCCCTCCATCAAAGTAGTCAACAGCCAAACCTGAGCAGAGAGAGAAGGTGTGGGTAGAGGGAGAGGACACTGAGGATGTGACCTGCAGACTGAGGGTAGCAGGAGTGTTGGGGGACAGCACAGAGTGAGTTTATGGTCAGAAGGGGAGGAGCCTAGATGTAAAGGGTAAGGCAGCGACCCATCACTTACCAATCAGCTTCAAGGTCAGAACACAATGAGGCATTGTCCACTTGATATCGTAGTTGCCAGTGGCTGTGTAATAATACCCGGCAAGAAGGTAGGCCTAGGAGAGGGAAGTATTTATTCTATTATCGCTATGATTTATTTTCTCCTTGTTCTGAAATCTAATGTATTCTTTTTTTTTCCCCAATGTATTTTTCATTTTTCCTTTCTCCTGTTCTCATCATTAAAGGCCTTAAGAAGTTCCTA